CCTCTTATTAGTTTAGTATAGAAAATTGCTAATTTTTGTTAACTTTAAACATATAAACTTAAGCAGTTCAATTACCCTCAAAAATTATCTTCTCTGCTTTCTTTTCCCCGAAATGCATAAGACTTAAAATCAAGAGTTTCTAATTGACAAACCATTACTATCCACAAAAAAAATAAATTATAAGGTACCTAGATTACAGTCAGTAAAAAAAAAAAAACCCGGACGCATATATATGATACTTTACGGTTGACCGACTTTAGTGTTGCATGATATATAAAATTAACTTTCTCTTCAATTTGATTTTATTATTGAAGACAAAATCTATTCATTTGTACTTCCCTTTAAATATCTTTAATTTTCAAACATTTCCCATATGTATTCAATATATAATAGTACACTATATTATGATTGAACACAAAACTATACAGTTTCAGAATATTTTCTTTTCGGTCAAAAATAAACGGAACCTGTATCTAGTTTAATAATGATCAATTAAACAAGTACAAAATATGTTGACTAAAAATACAAATAACTAAGTATAAAATAAATTAATGTAATCATTTTCTACACAAGGGTAATCAAATACTTCATTAGTACAGATATTTATAATTAAGGGAGAATTGGAAATCTATCTTTTATGGGTTAAATCACGAACTAACTTAAATCAGAGATAAGTACTGAAATTCAGGAAGTAATGAATAGCTGTTTACTACTATATTTACATTTTTAAATTGAACTAGTAGAAAAATTGAAAAAAAAAAACACATGAAAACCTACTCATGACCATTGGCCAAAATAAACGGTATCATAAAATAAAAAAAAGCTGGTGATTAATCATATCTCTAAGGTAAGAGAAATGAGTTAACCAGATAGAATAAGAGTAGAATAAGGAAAGGAGTTAGTGAGGGAGAGAAGTATCTTCCATAGAAAATTTTAACCTCAATATAAACTTAATCACAAGTCATTAACTCAATTGTCTTGCAGATTTACTAAATTAACTATGAAGCAAACTGTGTACTGTCATACTTAAGGTTTGAAAAAGAATCTAAATATATCTTCAGTTTAACCTAGACAAAGAGTGGAGACCTACTGATGAATTATAAACCATCATTTCTGAGTAGTTTACTGCTCTACATGTTGTCAACCAACTAACTGTGCCAAAAAACGGAATGGTATTATCTATAGGACAGCTAAACTTTAAAAATCTTTGTGTTTCGTGACCTTTGACTTTGAATGTTTAACCTGAGTCACTTCATGGTTGAAATCGTGCAAATCATGAATAGTTTCTGATAACGCGATAAACTAGTAATTTTTCTTGTTTATGATTGCTGCAGAGGAATTAAAACGTTCGACAATAGAAGGGCAAATATCAAACGAACTAGTTTTTCTACATAATTTTGTAGGATATTAACAACCATTCAAGACTATCATATATAAAATTGAATTTAGGATTTTAAAGCAATTAGTCCTTTAGATAAATCTAAATAATGTAATCAAAAGATGAAGATTATCAGAACTATGTGATATATTAATGCAATACATTTAGAATTGTACCATTGGACCCAACCTAGTGGTTTTAATGAACAATGGCTTGACACGAGACCTGAAAATGCTGACTTTGATCTCTGAAGAGATAGTAGATGTATATTGTTCAGAAGTCCAATAAATAAACGAAGCAGCTGTCTAATGAATCTTGATTTTCCACAGTATTCCAAAGGAATTTACTCCAATTTTTTTAGCAATAACGTTTCAATCCTGACAATATGTGTACTCATAAGTTATTAAGGCTTATAAATCCCTTGAAACAATATTCAACATCCCTCATGCACAATAGTATTAGAGAGCTTCATTACCTATACTCTAAGTTTAGTTGATATCCATCGTCAATTATTGAAGCGATTCGTTATTAGATACAGAAGAATTTTTGGTTAGTTTATTTTAGATTTCATGTCAACAAATCCACTCCAACCTTGAGGTCTACTTACATTTTGATCGGAAAACATGATATAAACATATTTAATCGGATTTTTCAGTAATTTTCGGGACCGCTCTTTCATACATTAAGGACTGATCCTATTCAATTAATAAAAACCGAGAATCATTAGATAGATGTTTCACCCTAGTATAGGACTCCACATTATCAGTGAGCATAGTACAGCCGGTCCCCCTACAGGGATCAAATGCATACCTTTCTATACTATTATGTCTATTTAAAATGAAGGTTATATGTTTCAGCTTCTAATGTGAAATAAATGCTGTAAGCTTAGCGTAATTTAAGTGGCAGAATATTTAGTTATAAATCTCCAATAAATTTGGTTTGACTCAAGTCAGGTACTTTATTGATTTATGTAACCTTCGTTGTAAGTCTGATGAAATTAATATGACCATACTTATTATATATCACAAACCAAGAAGAAATGACACTGTCTTAATGTTACGGGAAAATGAGGCTTTTTAGCGTCATCTGAAACATGTTTTAACGCAATATCATATTTTTGACAAGTTTTGGTATTTACGTAAATCCATATACCTAAGAGACTGAAAAATAAATGAGCTTTCTGAATCTGATAAGGCCAAATGATAAGTGTCATTTTTCCTTTGTTTTTAAATATGCTTAATAGAAACGGGTTATGATGGACGAATATTTGAGCTATTTATCCAAAAATTCAAGAGCATTTTGGAGAATATATGTACCTACTATGATCACTTTCGTGTTCTACGTAATAATCTCGTTGCTTATATATTCGAATTCCTTCAGTTCTATCTTAAAGTTTCTCATATACTTTAATAAGCCGATATGTATGTTGAATCCGTTCGAAAATGTATTAAGGTTATATATATATATATATATATATATATATATATATATATATATATATTCTGATACATTTCGTCTTTCAATCACGCGCTATTTAGATAAATCAAATCAAGTGATTGTTTTAAAACCTAAACTGTTTTTTCCTCCTACTAAAATCAGTCTGTAACGGAAGTTCTTGCCAAAACAATGCACTGCTCAGCTACCATTGATTTCTCTAAACAAATTACATCAATGTAACTACTTGGAAGGTGACGGAAGAAATATTACAAAATACACCTTTTCCAACTGAACGTAATAGCATATGTTATCTTCTGTCCTCATTAAATGATACAAAATTTTTAAAAAATTAGCTGACATATTTCTGACCTACTTTCATCATAATTATCAGTCGAATGTTAATGGTGGAAATTTTGGAGTATCAAGAACTAAACTCACAGTCCGATAATATAATCCTTAACTGTCGAGATTAATGCATGAATGGATAGCTTGTTAGCAGTTAGTTTTACTCCATACTCATCAAATTCTATAAAGTCACTTTGACCATATTGGAAATCTTAGATTTATAAAACAATTAGTCCCTTTGTATAAAATTTGATAATGCTCATTGCATTATTGAAATCTTAGATTGTCAATGAAGAAGCTGCGTAATTAACATAACATATTATAAATGGTTTGAACCATCCCGTTTTTGATATCCAGGACAAAACTTTGATAAGCCTGTGTTGGCTTTTCTGTACACCCTGTACGAATCATCTCGATATATTCCTAACTAATAAAAATCTAAAAACCATACCTGCAGAATACGACAATGACTTTCCGGAGTCAATAGCTTAGTTGATAACGCGTTAGGCATTTTAGGCAAAATTCACTGGGCTTAAGTGTCAGTGTGAATATATTGGGAACGACGTACATCCAATTAACAAATCTCAAGTAGGACATAACGCCTGTGCTGAATTCGACTGTTAAACGCAATCCATTTATTTTAAAAATTATATGATTAACAATTTAACTGTTAATCAGTTGAGTGTTATTTACATTTGTCCTACAATTAAGAATAAATTATTTAGTTTGAATAAATAATGCAATATCTATCCTTTGTTTCAGATTTTTTCAGCAGCCCGATACCCGCTATCCTATGAATACTGAACATAAAAACAATGGATATATTAGATAACCTCTGCTCTATCACCATTGTCCATAATCATGCAAAACAATCAAAGTAATAACCCCAAAGTTAGACATAAACACTTCTATAAGAAAAAATAAAAATCTCCAGACGAAATTATCAACTTTCATCAGTTAAGATCAATCAGGATTTTTAAAATGTTGTCTATCATAAAGATCAATACAGAATGAAATGAATTATATTACACTGAGGATTTGTAACTAAAAGTTTAAAAAGGGTCAAAAAGAATGAATTTCTGGAAAAATTAGCTAGAAACTTATGTTTGAAATTCAGGTCATGAACTAATTGAATTGAAATGCTTCAAGTTATACAATTATTGTGTGTACTTCTGAAATGACATATGTAATTTTCTATCTCTTATCAAAATATTTTACTCATTTAATTTTTCGAAAAGGAGTACCGTTTATTTTTAGGATGTAATAAGCAAAACATATCATACAGTTTAAACAAAGATGGATAGTGGCTAGCAGTGAAATCCAGGACGCCAGTTTCGTTCTATTTGGGACTCGTCAGTTGGATGTACCTGCATATCACAGTTTATGTTCTCTCTGGGACTCGAACCCAGTACCTTTCGCTTCAAACGCCATCGCGTTATCCACTTAGCTACTTAGTCCTGATAGCCACTTGCTTGTGCAATGTGGTGAAGTTTAAATTCACTTAGTACTGTTTGTTTGAATCCTCCCATCGAGGCAATACGTAAAGTATGTATATATGCCAATAAGAGACTGACCAGTTACAGTCCTAAACATCAATGGTAAGATTCAAACAAACAATACTAAATGAATATCATACAATTGCTGATAACATTCAAAACTCAACATGCATTATTCCCCCCCCCCTCTTTAAATGAACGAAAAAAAATAAGACAGAAATGACTAATTACAACACACAATTTGAACATAGAGAAAGAGAGAGAGAGAGACAGACAGACAGAGAGTTGCAATTACCCTCAATTAACTTCAATCACAAAAAACATTTATTATATATTACACTTACTTCCCATTTTTTTGACCTGACCATTTTCATGATTTATATTTCCTGTTTTATTTGATATTTCAGACATATTTAATTATATATAAAACAATATTGTATTTTGTAACAAAATTACATTTAAGTAGTATAGTTCAATTCTTAATAATATCTATGTATGTATAAATTGCATCACCATGGTATTCCTGTAATTTACACCATTATTATCAAAAGTTACTCAAATTAACAATATACTTGTTGTTGTTCACTGTTCAATGTGAAAAAAAACACTTTTTTTAAAAAAAAATAAAATTACTGAATAGTTTTCATCTCTTTGAGTGATACTCATCAAAACATTAGTGATTTGTACTCATTCATTATTTATGAATTATAATTACATTAAAAGGGTGTGCATGTATAAATAGAGAGAGGGAGAGCTCAAATGAATTGCAAAAGAAAATCAATGATTGCACTTCTGCTAGACCTACATTTGTTACGCTGCATTGATTGGTTAATATTATAGACCAATCAAATGTTAGACATTCGTATATGTATATATATATATAGAGAGAGAGAGAGAGTGGGAGGGAGGGATGATGTTAAGCAAGGTGCGTACATACATATGAGTAAACAATTTGTGATAATTACCAGTCAATAAATTGCAAACTCATTTAATACTTGGAATAGATTCATTTAGCCCACCCCACCCTACCTCCCTAAAAAAAAACACAACTAAATTATATTTCTTTTTTTAACTGGAAAACCAATATGATGTTTACTTATCCTTTTTTTTTATGATTTCCTTTCATTTCGAAATAATTTATTGAATTCTCTTCTTAAGAGTATTCATATTAAATTATGGGGTTGTAAGATAGGGAAAGAAAACAATTTTAACCATATGCTACATTTTATTTTTCTTCTTTATATTGATTAATCTAAACTTATAACTAAATATACCATTAGAATCCCGAAAATGGAGTTATGGTTTATATTTACTAGTTAGTAAGGTCATAAGTATTAATGAATAAAATCTATTTACTTTTGAAATTGTTAAAATAAACATGCTATCTGATATATCATGATCATGTTAATCATATAAGGTTGTTACATAATTGTTGTATGCAAATATAAAAACCTGTTAACACTTGGTTGGATTACATTATCTTCAAAAATAAAATGTAAACATGAATACATAGTTGAATAGAGAATAGGATGTATACGTATTGTACCTTAGTATAACTAATCTAGAGCATAGGCTGCCGACAAGCTTTCTCCAACCCACTCTGTCCTCGGCCTTTCATTCTAATTCTATCCAACTGTTGTTCATTCTTCTCATCTCTGTCTCTATTTCTCGGCGTAATGTGTTCTTTGGTCTTTCTCTTCTCCTTTGACCTTCAGGATTCCATGTGAAAACCTGTCTCATGACACAATTGGGTGACTTCCTCAAAGTGTGCCCAATCCACTTCCAGTGCTTCTTCCTGATTTCTTCCTCTGCTGGAATCTGGTTTCTTCTCTCCCACAGTAACTTGTTGCTGATAGTGTCTGGCAAACGGATCCGAAGTATCTTGCGTAGACAGCTGTTAATAAACACTTGTATCTTCTGGATAATGGCTTTCGTAGTTCTCCACGTCTCTGCCCCATACAGAAGAACTGTCTTGACATTTGTATTGAAAATTCTAACCTTGGTGTTGGTTGACAATTGTTTTGTGCTCCAGATGTTTTTCAGCTGCAAGTATGCTGCTCTTGCTTTGCCGATCCTCGCCCTCACATCTGCATCTGATCCAACGTGTTCATCAATGATGCTGCCCAGATATGTAAAGGTTTCCACATCCTCCAAAGCTTCTCCGTCAAGTGTAATTGGATTGGTGCATATTGTATTGTATCGGAGAGTCTTGCTTTTCCCTTTGTTTATATTGAGACCTACTGCTGCTGAGGCTGCTGCTACACTGGTCGCTTTCTCCTGTATTTGTTGTTGCGTTTGTGATAGAAGAGCCAGATCATCCGCGAAGTCTAGATCGTCAAGTTACATCCTGATCTTAGCAAACTGGACGGAATAAATTCTGATCATTGTGTTTTGTTACTAAATCGTTCTTAACTCAAACTTTTTAAATGGCTTGCCAGTGGAAGTAATGCACGCTTGAGTTTCCAATGAATTGCAAATCCCCTAGAGATAATTAACTCAGATTACTATTAAATGAATTATTACATTAATGAACCAAATAGTTATTGCGTCATTTGATTTACAAAAATGTCATTTGACATATCCATGATTTAAATATGATATTGTGAAATCATGATAATAAAATTATTCTATTAAAATTATAATTTTAACTAGATACTTGAAATATTCTTCATATCTAGTAAGAATGAAGAGATTGAATTGAGAAGAATAGAAAATCTAACGGAGAACACACATAATTACTTGTCATTCATCAATTCTCAACCAAAACTTTAAAAAAGTTATTGAGATTTAATATTCACTGTATGGTAAAAATGGTTCTATAGAGGGTAATAATGCACTGGATGATTCAAAAAAGTCAAGATGACATCAACTATTCATTAATTGGATATTCAATGAAGAAACATGCATAGTGAATTTGTATTCAGAAATGGCTACTTATGGTAATTCCTATCTACATAATATGAAGTTTTTTAATCACTAGAATAACAGAATTGTATTCATCAATTGTAAAAAGTGAAATCAGTTATTCGAATCGCTTTGGAGATAAACTGACATCTATATGAACAGAAGTCCTGCTGATGTTGGGTGGTTTATGTGGCATCCGTATTGACATGCCTGTTGTCAGGTAATACACCAAAGTTTAGGAATTCCTCTCAACTGAACACCGACATTCAAATCCAATTAACAGAAGCTTCAGTGTTCTAATGATGAGATCGTCTTAATCTTGAAAGGTTTGTTGTTTTTTAAAATCAAATAGAAACTACAGGATCAATTCTTATCACACTTTATATATATAACACAAATTATTCAGTAACATTAACTTATGATTCTACAATTCAGGCAGTCAACCATGCATAGCGCAGAACCTAGAACATACGTACACCGATTTACGCAACCATAACAAGTTATTGTAGCGAGAAGAAAGTATTAAGATAAATTTCATAGAATTAGAAAACAAAGAGTGAGTGCATTTGAGTCATCACAACCAAGTCTGAATTATGCCACTCAACGTCTTCAGACATTGGTAATGATAATCGTAGACATTACGAACAGGTAGTCTTCATCTGCCAATATGGCTCAAGTCAAAAGTCACTGACTTGATGGACCAAAGTAACACGTTGCTTTAGTCATCCTTAGCTTTCTGACAACTTACTCCTACCCAAGCCAACATCCCTCGTCTAGGTAGATGGTGGTTTAACACGCTTAATGCATGTCCCAACCACCTCAGCACACAAAGATTCACTACCTCACCAACTGATTTACCATCTTTTCGTGGTACCCTGCATCCAATCTCAAAATAACTCACTTTGAGTTTTCAACAGTCACGAGCAGCCTTTTGAAGGCACCTATAATCAAATACTAGTAAGTTAAACCTATAAAGTAAAACAGAGCGAATCACTGCTCAGTATATTCACCCTTTGGTTGAAAGATAAACGAGTATCTAGTCAACGCCACGGGTGCTGCAAGTTGGCGAAAGCCAATCGAATTTTCTGAATCCATACTGCAACTAATTCCTTAAAGCGCTATTTGAAGCAAAACATGACATAAATACAAACCATTTTGAGAAACGGGCAAGAAATATTTCAAAACGATTTATTTCTATGAACAATAAGAAACAATAGTGAGAAATGCAATTAAAATTTGATTTCGTTTTAACGTCATTCAAAAGGACCAGATGAAACTTCTTCAACTCTAATTAAAACAAACAGATCACCTGGATCTTCTATCCCATATACACGAACAAATGTAGGTCTTGAAGACCAGTGTAGTAGAAGCCTCTACATCGGTAGGCTTCAGCACACACAACGGAAAAACAAAGATCTTCAAAGAAAGCACGGAGAACATAAACCCAATCACACTTGATGGTGAAACTCTGGAAACTTTCATGTACCTGGTCAGTATCATTGATGAACAAAGAGGATCGGACGCAGACTTGATACGCAAGGATTGGCCAAAATAAGGGCAGATATTACACACTTACAGAACATTGAAAACGTTGTTGATTAACTCAGCCCCACGTATATTACTCTGATAAAATGTAATAAGATTTTATATAGTTGAGACCATGAGTCAATTGAATATAGACCACCACCGCCTCGCGAGATTCCAACCCAGGACCAATCAATCTCGCGCGCGAGCACTTAACCGATAGACCACTGAGTTGGCCGGTATCCAACGGTGTTAATGTATGACTTCAACCAATTCACGAAATCGAACAACCATTCATCGTCCAGTGCTTCCAGGTTTTCCATGGTGGTCTAGCTTCAATTGACTCATGATCTCAACTATATAAATTTACTAAAATCTCCACAAAACCCCCCTTCTAATAAGATTTTAGTTGACCATTTAATTTGTCTTTCAATATCCATTTTCTTTGTACGGGTCAATGCCATTAATTAGATTTTTGTTTTGGAGTAATCGTTACGCTTTCGTACATACACACACACACACATACACATATACACAAATATGTTATAATCAGTCAGTACATACTGATCAATAAGTAGTCATAATCATAACCAATATAAACAAGTGACAATAAATGATTCAATTATTTTAAACAAAATGATCCCAATTTCATTCAATCAATTTTTTGAGATAGCAGCAAAAAAATCTTTTAAAAAAATCAATAATGTATTATTATGTAATATGTTTACATCATTCAAACTATGAAAGTCACTAATCAGTTATGTCATATAACTAACTTATTTTAACTAATCAGTTAACTGAAATTGATAAACATTTTTGAAGATTTTCAGTAATTTAATGAAAATTGTATTTAGAAATTGTCTTTAATTTGAGTTGATTAGTTGACTATATAGTACTAAATTATCAGGTGACATAAGCTTAACAAAGTAGTTATTTATTTGTAAAAATTTGTATTTTTTTTATATTTTTGATGTTCAGGATTG